AGACGCAGCCGACGGTACGAGCTAATCGGACCAAACAAGCACCGTCAAAATCGCAAGTCACTGCACTCTAAAAAAAGTCTGTGCGTCTACTTTCACGCACACCACCTCTTAGAGCCAATCACCGCAACTTACAGAGGCAGCTCAGCGAATGAAAATATCGAAACATATGTTTAGATCAAAAAACGTAGTCTGAGTTGTGACATTAAGCAATGCAAAACGTCACGCTTGTATTGCTTAATGTCACAAGTAAGACAGCGTTTTTTGGTCTAAACGTATGTTTCGGCATCGTCATTCGCTAAGCTGCCTCCGTAAGTTGCAGTGATTGGCTCTTTGAGTGTTGTGCGTGAAAGTAGACTTACAGACATTTTTTAGAGTGTGGTCCTTTTTCTGTTTTCTGCGATTTACGAAATCAGCTCAGCGATGGATGAGGCGAACCATCTGTCTAAACCTCGAAATCAAGTCTGCGCTGTGGCATTACGCAACGCAAGCATGACCCTGTGCATTGCGTAGTGCCACAGCGAAGACTTCATTTTTAGGTCTAAACGGATATTCCATCTCATGATTCGCTGAACCGATTTCGTAGATCGCAGAGGTTGGCTCCTCGAGTGTTTTGCGGGTAAGTAGACGCGCAGGCATTTCCTAGGGTGCATTCAAAATGCCAGAACGTTGGCGGTGCAGTGTCATTTCAATTCTTGTTATCACACCAGGTCAGGTCCCAAAGTAGACATATAAACAAATCAAATATAAAGATGTCACTGGCAAAACTGTGAGTTTAGAAAAAGCTTAGAGCACGAGGTTCTTTCTCTACAAAATCTTTTGACCCTCCTCCCCCCCACCCTCGTCTTACGTTGGCTCTCGACCTTTCCGATGTGGGCTATGCTGGTTCACACAGCCAAGATTCCTCACGTTACGTTAGGTAAGCTTACGTACAAGCCACCTGGACCACTGTGTCTTGTGTCAAGCGTGGCTACCAATTCGAGACGGTAGAGCCTTGCACGCGATATCCGAAACAGGAATGTTTCGCTGACTTATACGTAACGTAAGAAAACGGTGCTGTGTAAACTAGTCCTTTATAGGGAGTATTCACTGGCGGCCATAGCCGTGTGCGCGACTGCTGAGCGAGCGCTCATGGCGAGCTTCTACAGTTATTTTGCAACGTGCATTCCAGACCATAACTATTCCCGGTCTTAGCAACCTAGAAATGTGAGTTCGTTCTGGGGCATGCGCTCTAAACAGCACCCACAAATATGGCGTCCAGTGAATACTCCTTATAGTTTAGCCGAGCTCAACATCTTACATTACATTGCGACGATCTTTGTGTCCTTGGTTGCTACGGTAACTCGCTGTCGTAGCTCGTCGTAAGCAGTCGTAACATTACGTAACGAGACGCACCTGTGAGAATGGACCATGAATGCGTTGTACGTAACGTAACTTAACGTGACGTGATACGTGGTCCAGTATGAACCGGCTTTAAAGGTCGGTTCACACAGGGGCATTTTCCTACGTTATGTATACGTTACGACCGCTTAGCAAAGCGGAGCTCTAACGTACGATTTACTGAAGGTCCCCAATGTCTACAACAGCTCAACGAGTGTGCATGACAAATATGAAGGAAGTCATGGCGCTGTCGTCATTACAACGTCAGGCCAAAGCAAATAACAAATCTGGCGCGCCCTCCTCTGCCAGATCCACAGAGAGACTAACGCACACGTTGCGTGATTCTCCTCGCGCTGAACCTTCTCCGAATTATCGCACAGACCGAAAGGATAGGGTTAGGAAGACACCGATCTCGGTCACTGTCTTCTCGTCTTCCGGTATGGTGCGTTTGTTTTACCTCACTACTTTATTCCTCTCTTTTTTTTCTTCGTCCCTCCGGTTCGATGTTAGCTCACGAAAGCACCACCCTCCGGTTCCGCTCTTTTGGCCTCTTAAGTACGGACCCCATCCAACGTTGCCCCAGCCCGCGCGCACTGGCAAACATCAAATTCCTCTTCGGCCTGTGCACGCTTCGTGAACAGGTGGGGAGGCGTCAAAGACTACTCTCGCGAGCGCGTGCGAGCAATCTTTGGTGGCGTTCACGTCGCTCGTTTGTTTTCTTTTTCTTCCCCACTTCCGTTCTCTGTCGTTCTTTTATTCATCTTTCCCCCTAATCGTCCCGCTTTTTTTCTCGCGAGTCCTCGTCGTAACCGTACACAACCCCTTTGTCCATTTACATCGCGGTCGAGCAACACTGCATTCACGGTGGATGGAAGCGTTCGCAACACTCGAGCTCGTGTACATGCCCATATCGCCCGTGCTTGTCCGCTGGCTGTAACGCTCGCTCGAGAACGAGGGGGGCCGGTAAATTACCGTCGCTACAGCTCGCCACCGCGTCAAAAGGGGGTCCCTCGCTGCAGTGCGCGTGACCGACTAAACACTTTCGAGCATATGTCCTACGTTTCACTTTACACCAATGAGCCGCAGATGTTGGTACGAGCCACCCCAGCCAGTCCAGGGCCATGAAACTCTCACGTGACCGCTCTTCGGGCGTTGTGAAAGCATCGCAAGGCTACTATGCTTTGTCTCATCCTGCGATGGACTAAAGGCCAAAGCCACGGGCCGCAATGTCCAATCACGTTGCAAGCTAAAATATGACACGTTTAGCATAGGTTAGGGGTGGACGAATGATCCTCCTAGTCCAAAAGCACTGCATCATTTTTATGGCTTCGACACTGCAAACAGCCTGCATGACATAGCTTTCTTTGCAATGTAAAATTGTTGAGTCACTCAGTGCTATTCAATCCAAACAGCCGTCCGCCCCCCCCCCCCCCCCCCCCCCCCCCCCCCCCCATTAGTGATTCGAGACGCGGGTGCCGATACGCGCATCGAAGCGAAATACCACGCAACTTGTAAGTGGCTCGTGATTGGATCTGGCAGTCCGTAGCTTCTGTCTTTAGTCCATCGTAGGGTGAGACGAAGTATAGCGCGGTATTGGATTTGCTTCAATGACTTGCAACTTTTTCTGCGGTACGTAGCATGGTAGGAATGGCACAGTCATAAATCGGGGAGGAAGTGGGGGGGGGGGGGGGGGGGGAGGGGGAGGGCTTGATTTCGCGAAGAACACAGCTCGGTAAAGAAAAAAACAGCGCTGGGGGTCAGGCCATGGAGGATCCTCCGCCATTGAGGTCACCTGGCTTCGCGGGTCACTCTAGCCTAGCGCCGATGAAAAGAACCCCCTTGTTGTTCGATGAATAAAGGGAGGAGCGTAAAAGGAGATGGCCACAATGAAAACGCAAGAGGTGTGTCAGACTTCCCGCGAGGCTCGAGGAGGTGTTGCTATTTCGGTGGAGCGAGCGCTAATGCCGTGGCGGCTGTAGGTGGTATACTCTCCCTGGCGGGACATAGCTGGGTTTGTTGACGCCGAGATTGTGCTGACAGGTAATGTTTACGGTGCTTCCGCAACGTGCGCCGTCAATGTCGCCGTTTAAGCAGACGATAAGTAGGGCTTCGCTGTGCGCATGCTCTGTAAACAACGGGCGCGAGTATGGCGTCCAGGGAAGTGCCACCATCACATCTTTCTGTGGGGGCCTCGAACTCAGTCATCCAGACGACATATTGCACAGTCATGGGTTGTATAGCATTACACTGCGCGTACTCAATTACGCAACAGAAAGTTACTGTGAAGGGTCAGAAACCAATTCAAAGCTCACTAAACAAAGATTGCGACATGCAGGAGGCATACGGTTAGTGAAGTGGTGTATAGTTGCAGGTAGGCTACTTCCATAAATCCGCCACCGCGGGCGTTGCGTTTTGGGAACCTTTGGGCAAGGAGCGGAGATTTTTTTGTTTTTTGTTTCCCACTGATTTTCACAATGCATAGCGTAGAATCACGCGGTGATGGGGCACTTTGAGGTTTGGAATAGGTCTGGTCAGCGAACATGAAAAAGCAGTCTTCCCCCATTGTCTATTTGTGTTAGTAACTATTGACCAGCGCAGCTAGAAGCGGTGATAAAGAAGAAAAATATTGGCAACATGGGGATGGACACTAAGATGGCCTCGCCACAGCTGGACCTAAAATAAGATTGCCCGCGGTTACGTGGAGATATAGAAAGCGCTGCAGTGAGCTTCTTGGACTATAAGGTGCTATGATCATGGTTACCCAAGTAGCACACCCCGGCGTGTTGTGCTACTTGGGTCATGGTTATAACCGGGACCACGTACTCTTCCGAGTTTGATGAGAGGAGACCTATGCAACCGCTTTCGAAAGCTGACTCCATTGGAAGCTCTCCAGAGAACTTTGCACTTTTTTAATTGCTCATATAATATAATGATTGGTGTAGGAAAGATGGATGCGTCTCAACGCTAACATTTTTTAGTCATTTGTACCAGAGCAAAAAAGACACCATCGAGGTCGCAACAAAGGATCAGCGACACTATCCTCTGGTTTTCTTCGTTGCTCTCCAGCTTTGATTGTTTGGTGGTGCCCGACTGTGTGCTCGACACCCATAATGCTAATAAAAATCTTTAAATTGTATCACATATTAAAACACTGGAGACAAGAACAAAAAACTGCACCAGTAGCTCGACGAGGACTGAACCGCCTCCCCCTCCCTCACGCTCATCACCAATTTAGTCTATCACCTTTTGGTTCTGCGGGGTCTTATGCGTGAAAAGTAAAGAAACAAACCAACAATCCGACTGTAGCGAGCGTGAGTGTGCCACGAGTGTGCGCTAGGCACACTGTACAAACTCAGCCGACTGGCTTTGATCGAGACACATAATCAATCATTCTGGGATCCCATTTCGCTACTCGTGAGTCTCTGGTGTGAAGCTTAGCTCCAAGAACCCTCCTGTAAAACGTGGCTCCAAGCATCACCTGTCAAAAATTACAATAGGCTCGATGTTGCAGATCGTGATGGCGCCCAGAGCAGCACTTCACATTTCATCCTTGAATCGGATCCCCGTACAGATGCCTTTACAAACGGCACGATTAATTTCATCGGCGATCCGCCGGCACTCACGAGCTTTCGAGGCCGCTCGCCGCCGCCGCGTGCGAATCGCCGAAGAATACACAACTGGGCAGCACCTTGGGATCACCGAACGCAGTCTCGCTTCCCGCTTGCTCAACGAAATTGTCTTCTCAAAGGAGACTGCATGCTGTGGGGCTCTAATGGCCACTAGAGTTGTCAGTAGAGGCTACGAAATCTCTCTTTTTATGTTAGGAGTACGTGAAGTTTTCTATACCTCGTTTTTATCTTAAGGCAGCGCAACCAAGGGTTAGAAGACGCGGAAACATCGGCACACAAACTGAAAGTAGAAGATCACGAAGCGCTCATTGCGCACGGCTGGTTTTGTCGGTGATAACGTACGAACAGAAAAACCTCGAGTGCAGTGGCGTTGCACCCTGGGCAACGAGGTAGAGGGGCTTAGAGCGATATACTGGTAGGGGTGTCGCGAACTTTTGTCGAACCGGATTTTAGGTCGAACGTTTGGGTTCGACTGGGTCGAACCGGTTCGACGAACCTTCGAACTTTTCACAAAATTCGACCGGTTCGACTTTGTGGACATTGTGGCCAGACCTTCATACAAGCATGCCTAGGTTTGGAGAATTTTTTTGTATGCAATGGGTTATTTTATTTTATGAACAGTTGCAATTCAAAGAAATCAATTCTTATCACTGAAGAAGTTAATAACTTAATTTTTTGTACTGAATTAACTGAAAGAACCAATCACCGCTGCCCTTGATTCATCCCTTAGCCATTACCATCCAATCCGAAGCCAACTGGCCTGCCTGTCGCGCATGCGCACACGAGTCGAACCTCAATACAAGGTTCGCCGAACTTTTCAGTCGAAAACGTCGAACCTGGTCGAACTCGAACCGTGGCCGGTTCGCGACATCCCTATATACTGGTGTCCCGTTCGCCACGCTAAAGTGACCCCCCCCCCCCCCCCCCCCTGGCTGCCGCCATGTTCTACAATTTTGACCACCAGACACGTGACCGTACCAAATCCTGAGGCGTTTACGCAAAACTGAGCTGGGATTAGTATTGCGATCACTGTAAAAAACATTATAAACTATTTTTTCAATACTGTCAGCCAGAGAGATCAGTGTCTAGCTTCGATAAAAACCCAAAATACAGCATCGCGGCTGACGGCATCTAGCGGAGGCACTGCGAAGCCGCCCGAAATTTTGTCATAAAAAAAAAAGACTTAAAACAAAAACGAAACATAACTTATCTCGTCGGTACTGTGATTGAAGATGAACGAACAATTATTTACGTGCGGTTCTTCGTTAAAATCTTGACGTAAAACCATAAAGTCACGTGTCTAGTAGTCCAAAATGTGCAACATGGCGGCGGCCAATGGGGGGTCACTTTCAGCTGCCAGTTTTTCGCTCTAAGGCCCTCAACCTCCTTGACTCTAGGCTCGCTTGATTGCTTGCATCGACTCGTAGCGCCTGCTGCACTCTGGCTTATGGTGAAGCAAAGGATGAGGGAGTAAAAGAGAATAAGGCATACCTAAAGTTCCTAAATAAGAGCTTTACGAGAGAAAGAAAGAAAGAGAGAGAGAGAGAAGAGAAAGGAGTATCAAGGGACTTTAGGCATAACCACCGGTCAGAACAACACTCCTCCAAAAAAGACAAATACCTAAAAGGAGACTCGAGTGCTTTATGTCATGTAGTCCTCGTGCAGAAGCACGATCTTTGTGTTTTCTAAGAATACTTCCTGTTTCCGACTGTTTGTGCACACGAAACATTTTCGCTCATTTTTGTGCCTCTGCAATAGATAGCCGTGCACGCATCTAGTCGAAGGAAGATGGGTTACATCTTACCAATGCTGTCAAGGCCCCTAGCATGACGATTAAGGCGTTAAACTCTGTAAGGTCATGCTTGCACTAAAATTGTTGGGTGGAGGTGATTACTTTTGAGATAAACTATGAGCAATTTTATCACCACATAGTTTTAGCTAAAAATGATATCTTTCTTTTCAGCATCATGAAGTCTGCGTGATATTGTTTTGCTCGATATTGTTTTACTAATGACAGTAATGAGGAAAAATGGAAACTGAGATAGGTGGTCAAGTGTTGACTTGTGGTCGGAAACCTTGCAGCCTTATAAAACGTTCAAAATAATCACAGAGACGGCAGGGGCATGAACATCAAGGCACACAAAGACGATGAAACTGGAACACACAAAATTACAACAGCAAGAAAACAAGTGTTCGAGATAAGAAGCCGTAGGAAAACGGACAAAAAAGAAAAGGAGAAGCGAAAGAAAGGCGAACCGGCCAGCGACCGAAGCCACAAAGCAAGAAGGCCAGCTAACCCTTCTTTTGAACTCTCGCAAGGTGACAAGAGGTCGCCGCGACCGGCTCCAGCGGTCGGTCAGTGCAAAGAGCAGAACAGATAACACCCAACAAAAAATACAAACGACAACAACATGGGGCCGCCTTTGACGAGCGATGGTATATCAAAAAGGTCTGGTCGGTAACTCCAACGTTTGCTCTGCGCGCATTGTAAGCGTCGCTCGGGCCATCTCGGTTGAAGGGACAGCGAGCAACGTGAGATTGCATCCTTTCGAGCTTGGGGTCGAGAAGTGAACGGCTAGTTGGCCACTCGTTGTTCCTCGTTATCTGGTTGTATGAGTATACGCGCGGCTCTGAGTCTGCGTTGAGTGTGTCAACAACGATGCTGGATCCACGCCGGTGGAGCTTCGCCAAGACTTAATCGACTCTGTAATTAATCGTCCCTACATACAATCGATCTTCATGAACCGGCCTGATAGACATAATGGGAATATTAAGTAAATCGTGTGGCGTGTTTGTCTATATAAAAGGAAGTTCGTCAGCCTCAACTGGCATCCGGCGCCTCCGATGTAGGTAAAACATTTGGACAGTCCAGTACCGCGCAGCTATCCCGGGGCCTTTAACGTGCACAACGCCGTAGTGATACACGACCGCACGTCGGTAGGATACGTGTCCTGATCGAAACGGGCAGGGGTGGGGACTGGAAATATCAAATGCTATAACTTCCTTATTGTGCAGACAATAAAAAGGGCTCTGTGAGTTCGCTTTCCCGCAGAATACAATATAGCTAATTACGGAAAACAATAGAAAGCTACTTACTCATGATTCTGCACACATCGCATCTTTTAGATAATTTATCGTATTGTATAATGACGAGCTTTGTCATTCGCTAAATTTTTTTTTATTTCTCGACGTGATTTCTTGCGTTCGCGTACTCTAAAGCAATGTTTACTTCACACGTTTTCTTTCGATTTTATCTTACTGGGTGTTTGGAAGATTTTATCGTCACCTGCAAAAGTAAAGTATGCATCACCCCACGCTCAGTTTATCTCTAAATGTAGCGCTAGAGGTTCAGAACGAATGCCAAAGTTTCAAAGCTTGCCGTTATCTAGTTAAAAAAAAAACAAAAAAAAAAAAAAACATATACAAGCAGTTTTTAGAAATTGCTACTGAAAAATGGCGAACAGCGGACACCGCGAATGCAGGAAAATGTATGACGAACGCTAGCGGGAACGCGGCCCATTTTCTCTTTTAAATCGTTTAAAAATCACTGGTAAAGTTGAGGCCACAAAAGGGTTAGTATTTGAAGTTTGGCATCTGCTACAAACCGCTAGCGCTACATTTTGGCCAAAACGTAGCGTTCACAGACGTAATAATTAATTTTTGAAATATAGCTTTTTCCGTGTTTTTGTTTACTTTTTACTAGACATTATAGTCATTAAATTTATCTTTATTTTTAGAAGTTGTAAAGCTTGAGTGCGACACATATTTTGTTCATAAGCTTTCGCACAACAAAATCACGTTTTAAGGCTACACTCGTGGTTCCTGGTACGATGCAGACTTTTGTGATTTGGACTATTCGCTACCTTCATGATCTGTCACCGTTAATGATGTGGACACATGGTCAGCAGTTGAAAACATGGCGTCTATACTTGTATTATATACGTTCATCGGAACTCCGCTAAGATTTCTAGTGCGAGCTCCCGAGCTCGTGCATCGGAAGCTCCGACTACAAGTGCCCGTTGGTGTTTAGAGCCTTTGCTAAAGTTCCTATTGCGGGGAGTCGTAAGAGAGTATCTTTTATCTTATGAAGCTGCTTCAATGTCAGGATCTTGCGGACAAGATAACCTCCTTTTAAAAGGTCATATCCTCGGGTCCGCAGTCTTTGTTGTGCTTCATGTTAAGTGAGGAAATTAAGACTTAATCGACTCTGTGAATAATTAGCTATGAAAAGAATGTATCATACTCGTTGGTGGTAACAGGTAGTAAGAGCATCGCGAATAATAATGGCACCGTATAAAAACAACACTCACGGCTTTGCTGAGCTATGACTACAGTGTATACTTGAATTCAAAATTCTAGTTTCTCGTGGTCTATTCAATTGTTCTTAATCATATGTTATGTTTTCTTTCGCGTTTATGCATTACTCCATCACTGGAACTTCGAAAATCAACAAGTATAAACAAACACAGACAGAGAAAAAAAAATAAAAAACGGACGAGGTTTACTTTTTTCAGGTTGGTTTTATTTTATTATTGGCTCATTATGTCTCGGCGCCCATCAAGAGTGTTCATTATAGTATAGCCAATGATGCATCACTTTATTTACTATAGGTGTATTGCATGTCGAACAATGGTTATTGTTATGTCTCATGCCTCGAAAACACATAATGCAAAACCCCCGTAAATTACGGTAGTAATTAGCAAAAAGCCTCGGAGAGATCATCAAACTAGAGTGCCTCAATTTTCAGGAGGTTCCACAAGGTCCAAGAACATCTGTTTCTCTCTAATTTCTGCTCGTTGCTCCTAAGCGTAAGGTCTTCCTCGTATTGAGAGATCACGGCCTTTTAAAATTAACTCGAAAACGACCTGTCGCGAAGAATTTATGGCTGCGAACAAAAGGATGTAAACACTCGGGGCGAATACGCGGCGCACGATATCCCGCTCAGAGCTGCCTTCAATCTCATCATCTAGACGTAGACTGTGAACGATTGCCGCCCAGAGATTTATATCGGAGACAATCGACGCGGCTGAAAAACAACAACAACAACAACAAATGGCCGCTTGAAG